ATCAAACATTTGATAAACATGTATTCATTCAACAACCACTTATTGTGCTCCTATAATATACATTCTAATTAAAGCCAGAAGAACAAATATAAATGAGATACTCAATTAGTTCTTGGGTACTAAAGACATTAATTATGGATTGGATAAGGTACCATTTGCCAGACTAAGTAAACTCTTAATCTTGCTTGATTAAAGGAATGAAAGGAAATTGTTTAAAAATTATTTCCTTATCACAGATCCCTGTCACAGAAAATTCCTGGAGGCAGGGTGGGGAAATGAACTTAAGAAACAAAAGCCAGGAAAGAAAGGTCTCCTCTAAGTGGGGAAGGCACCTAAAGAATAAGTAGCTCCACTCCCTGCTCTGAGCCTCAGTTTCCCAGGATGCATTGGGAGTATGGCATGGATGAGTTCAGAGGAAACTTGCAGCAACAATGTTCAGTCTCTGGAACCCCAGTTTCCAAAAGCATACGGGAATTTATATTCAACCTCTTCTTAAAAATAACTACTGAATCACTCCTGTCTGCCTTCTCAAGGTCACACACCATGTTTCTGTGGATTTCTCTTGAGAAATGGGAGAAGGGAGGGAATTTAATTCTAACTTTGATTGGTCTGCTTTTTGGCTCAAACAACAGAAAAACATACAATTATCCCATTGACAATTACAGTCTCCACACTTCACCACAGTCACAGAAAATGGCCCTCAGCAGCAGAACAGCAGCCACAGAGCAGGGAGCACACATGTAAGCCATTACTGACTCAGAGATATGCTTGCCTGTAACAGCCCCCACTGTATCTCCATAGTAGGTTGGACAGCTAGGGGATCACTCACCACTAGCTACAGAGGCACCCAGTCCCAGTCATTTCAGACTTCTGGTTAAACAGAATTCACAAAACAGAGAGATTTGTGCTCAGTGAAAGTTCACAGGAGCTAAATCTAACACAATCAGACCAATAGAGAAGCCGCTGGATAGAGTGTGAGTTTCTTGCTGGCAGATACCACATCCAACCAGGTCATTACAAGTCTTCAACTACACTGTAGCATCCAAGGTATGTGATCTACAATCAATAAATATTTGTACAATAATTTTGCAGGTGAATAAAACAACATGACTGCTTGAATAGCTGAGTATGTGTTTGTGTAATGCCTCAAGAACACTGGAAAGACAGACTGGCTTGAGTGTCATTTAGCACAGGGGTATCAGTCCCATCCTAGCATCTATACAGCAGCTCTGTCATAGTCTCAAGCCTCAGTTTCTCCACTGTGGTGCAGATTAATCAGTGCTTACATGCTTCTTTACAGAAAGACTTGTCACATGGCTGATGGAAGCATCACAATCTGAAGCCTTTAGCTATAAAAACCTCTGCACATGCCCTCAGAGGGGAGGCATACCCCCCTATATCTGCCCTTGGCTAAGAGAGGAAACTGTGAACAAAATGTGTTTTATAGAATGTGATGGTTAATATTGCTTATCAGCTTGCCTGAGACTACAGTCTCCTAGGAGACCAGCCTCTGCCCATGACTGTGGGCAAGTTTCCAGATGGGGTTAACTGCTCGAGGAAGACACACATTAAATATAAGCAGCAGCATTCCATTGACTTGGGCCCCAGAAGGAAGAAAACAAAGAAAGCAGGCAGAGCACAATCATTTAGCCCATCTGCTTCCTGACTATGGACACAATGTGATCAGCTGCTTTGACTTCCTGCTAACCTGCCTTCCATGGGCTATGTCCTCAGTCAAGTTCCCGCTAACCTGCCTTCCCTTCCATAGCTGTACCCTCAGACTGCAAGCCAAAATAAACCCTTCTTTCTTTAAGTTGCATTAGTTTGGGTTTTTTGTTTATGTGTTTTTTGCCATAGTCATGCAGAAGTAACTGATGCAGAGAGTTTATTTGAGCAAAGAATGGTTTGTTCATTGGGCAGCGCTCAGAAACAGAAGAGGTCACAGGGCTGTGCTGCAACAGTGTGGACAGTGAGCTCTAACAGGCTGAGCACACAGGCTGGTCAGAATGGTAAGACTCTAGTGAGGAGTGGCTGGTGGGTTCTGATTGGTGAAATCTGTAGCCTCATGTTATTCTTTCTTCTGAACTTGACTTCATCTGACTTGAGGCAAAAGAGAGGACCCAGCCTACTGGTTTCTGGATCAGAAAGTAGTTTTATTCTCCAATGACAAAGCAAGGTAGACCCTAAAGTACTAGTCACTTGGACCTATGAACAATTCTGACTCCAAAGTTCCCTATGAGTTGCCACATAACCAGTGTCACAATTCAGTTTAACCTTCTACCTAGCCCTCTCCCTCCCACAAACATTGACACCTCCCACAAGGGGCCCTCCCAAAAGTCTATCGTGGACTTTGAACACTACCTCAAAGGCTGCTTCCCAGAGAAGCTAACTAATGACCCTCTTTTTGCAAAATAGAAACAATAGTGATTGCATAGACCACAGTGAAAGCTCAGTGAGTAGCAACATGCCATAGAAAGTGCTTGTGCGTGTGAGCCAATGATGTGATGGGCCCTGGTTAAGGCCAGCCCTTTAGCTAGCTCCGAGGACCATGGTGCACTAGAGAGGCCTCCAAAGCATAAAACAGTAGTCTCTGTTGCTGCTGTCTGCCTATAATCTAGTATCTAACTGAACACACTAGGCCCCTACAGCATCCTATGAGCATGAACTAGCTTTCTCTGGGAGCAAAACCCAAAAATACAAAATTTAAACCCAGAATACACATGATAGATAGGTATAGAGACCTAGTGGTTTTATCCCCTAAGTATTTACAATTAGCTTTGTAATGCTAGGCTAGGAATACATGAAACATGCCAGGAACACATAAAAGGGAGCATGCCTCTCCCTCTCTTGGACTCACTGACCCATCACAAATACAACATGAGGACACTGTAGCCAACCTCTTCCACAGGTCACAGCTCTTATGTCCATTCTGGATGTCAGTGTTCCCAAGGTGCCTTCTGGATAAGGCAAGCTAGATTCCTATATCATGTTCATGCAATATGATCCTGCTTCCCCTCAAAACTTCTAAGGGCATTGGAGGTTGGAGAGTGAAAAGAAAGGTCAGTGGGTAACCAGGAAGACATAAGGGCTGCCAATATCTGACCTTCACCTCATATCCCTTATTCAGGGAGACTATTCCACTTCTGAATGAGAAGCTAACCAATTGAGGGTTCCTATGTGCCAACAAGTTCTGCCTTCTACTACGTGCATCTGTGTGTGTGTGTGTGTGTGTGTGTGAGAGAGAGAGAGAGAGAGAGAGAGAGAGAGAGAGAGAGAGATTTTAGTCTCTTAAGAAACCACTGACATAAGTACAAGTTAGTCACAGTTCACAGATAAAGAAACAGAATTTTTGCTTTAGTAGAGTCAAGTTGAGGCAGCCTGGTCTCCTCCAGCCTAAATGCTTCTCCAGCCCTAGAACAGGCTTTGCCCCACCCATCTAGGATCCCATTGCCAGAACCACTTAATGTCACAAGGGGGAAAGGGTGGGAAACACAGTGGCAGTCAGGCTATATACTCTCTACCAGGACTCTCCCAATTGTTCCAAGTTTAAAATACTAGACTGTGAAGGAGTCTGTGCTTTCTTATTTATAGGTAAATTTACCCACTGGTTAAGGAAAGGGTCAGAATGGAGAAATCCAGAATTCTCTAACAACACCTACACAAAGTGACCCTGGCTTTAGCAGACATTTGTTAAACAATAGTCTCTCCACATAGCTATCTAGATGTTATGCATATATTAATCTGATTAACCCCACATTGACCCTGCATAGTATGTAATGTCATTATCCCATTTTAAACATGAGGGAACTGGAGGACAGATGGGGCCCCAGCATCTTCACCAGCCACATGCTGAAAAAGAAGTTCAACCCAGCTCTAAATCCAGGTGGTCACGTGACCATATCTGACCACACTTGATCATCTTAGGACAGTTCTAGCACCAGGCATCCTAACGTCACATCTCACCATTTCTGAGTTTCACTATACAGACTACGTGCAAAGATATCACTTAGTTTTCTGCTTCCGTCTATACAGAAAACTATACATTATACTTCTAATGGTGTTCTGTGTCCTAGGAAACATGCAAGAACTGTGTGTCAAATCCCTACACCTCCTTCTAATGATGGCTTTGGGAGAATAGACCATGCCTTCATAGAGAGTCATTAATTCTGTCCCACTCGCGAGTTTTAGCAAATAATTCATTCTTTTATTTTAAAGCATCATATTATCTTCTATGTACCTACCTAACATCCTTCACCTATCTATTAATACATACATACATACATACATACATACATACATACATACATACATCTATACATACATACAGCCCAAAACCAAATGAGCAGTATGGAAATGAAGGTAAAGTAACTCAGTATCCCTGGCAGCTCTTGGGAAGGTTGGGATACACAAAAGGTGAGATATCAGTGAAGCAAAACAAAACATGACAAAATAAAATAAAACAGGACTTAACAGGATTATACTTTCTCTAAACAGTTCATCAAAATGTCTTGAAAAATCACAAAAGAAACAGGATTTTAATGAATGCTGTCTAAGACCAAGTCCCTATTATGAGGTCCGGAACACCAAGTTGCACAGCTCCCCTATAGACTAAGCATACCTCAGAGTTACCAACTATCCTGGCGCCTGAGCCTGAAAATTTTCTAAAAACATGCATCTTTCATGTCAGTCGGGCAGTTCCAGGAAATCTCACCTGGCACAGATCTGTCACTCTGGACTTCCACCCTTGCTTCTGGTCCAGACATCCAGGGCTGCCAAGTCAAATCTGCGCTTGGAGCTCTGTGGACTTCCCAGCCTGGTGTGGGCACCTCTGATGGCCCCACATCTCTCCTCCAGACTATATGTCTCAAACCCCTACCTTAATACACTGCCTGTAACACCTCCCTCCCTCTGCCCACACCACTCCATTTAAGGCAACTAGTACCTCCCAAGGACCGGATCGTAACAATTCTCTCCTGGGTAGGATAATCGGCATGACTTACCTCTGCCCTTGCAGAGGAATGGGATCCAGGTGGTGACCTCCAGGCAGGGCCATCATGTTTATCCCAATCTGCAACAATGCCTGCCCACAGCAGTTGGGACCCTGCAAAGACAGGCCAAGATCGGTCTATTAGAGAGGCGGTGCTGTCTCTTTGCCTCTCACATCCGGGCTTTAAGGAGCAGGAGTAGGTATGGTGGAAGGTCTTCCGGGCCTCTTCTTCTGAGCTGATTCACACTCTGATGTCCTCACACAGGTAAGGCAGGCTCAAATCTGACCTTCTTTCTAAATCCCTGGCTTACTCTAACCCCCTACGATCTTTCCCTTTGTCCTATTGCCAAATATTTACCCATTTTGGTGTGTGACTGACACTGGGACACACAGGCCAGCAAATATTGTTGTACAGGACACACGTGTACTGAAAAAAAGCAGCCAAATGCATTCCACTTCAGATGACGTCATTTCACTTGAACAGCAAGTGGAAAGCTCAGGATGTGACCTAAGGCTCAGTTTAGGCCACTGACTCATGACAGAGTGGATCTTAGGAAAGATTTACTTTTTCTAAGCAGAACCACCAGGTCAGACACTCTCTCCTATTAGACTCAGAAGATAATGCTAATCAACATCAATGAGAGCAATTATGCAGTCATGAGAGAAGCTGCCTACAGAACAGAGCTGGAGTGCTGAGAAAACTTGTCTGGGTCCCGGATCACAGACCCAATGAACCAGCTATGCTGTGGTCTGGCCCACCTCTACACTTTCTGATCTAAGATCGCATACAGTTAAGTCAGTGGCCATGAAGCCTCTGCCCTGCACTGCTAAAAGCAAACCAATGGGAAGAACATGTGTGAAGTTAGAGACTTCCAATCCCAGAGCTGAGGGTGCACATGGCTTACTTTAACCTCACAGTGCAAGCTACAGGGTTGGCCCTCCTCCCTCACAAAACCAACTGCACAGCTTTTAATCTCTCACCTCACCCCTTCCACCCTTCAGAATTTTCTCCAAATTTCCTCTTCATTTTCTTCTGATAGAATGGGCCTCTAATCCACACAGAGAGTACACTATTACCCTTATAATAGTAATACTATTTATTGCACTGGTAGGCGTATCTTACCAGGCAGGTACTCACTGCAGGAACATTGATGATCTTTTTTCTCCCTTAGCAGCTTAAATAGCACCTTCCAGTACTGTGAAAGCTAGCCAGCAGGAAGGAAATTCCAGCTCAACTTGACTTCTCCATGTCTTATAACCCAAATGTGTGGTGTCTTCAGCAACAGGGTTTTACAGTCTCTTTCTGGTGGGCAACCAAGAGCAGTGGCAATTGGCTATAATGTTCTGGGTCAGGGAAGCCATAATAGACTCTAGAACATAAAAAGTATAAAGGAAACCCCAAGTTTCCCAGGATAAAATCTAACATGTGATGAGATGATCATAATGAAATGATATCTTTTCTTATATCTATCTTTATCAAGGAGAAGAAGAGACAAATGAAAAACACTGAAGAGAGACTTAAAGCCTATGGTAGACTAGAAGACTGGGAGATGGCTTGCAAACATCAGGGACCTTTACAGTGTAAACCAAAGGATTCTGAAGTCAAGGAAGGGACCATAGAACCCTGGAGGAAGCCGTGGATCTGATTCCAGTTTAATCTGACAGGCCCAGAGAAAGCACAGTAGTCACAAGCAGAAACCTAGATGCTTACAAATGTTTGCATTTCCACGATAAGATTCTGTAAACATGGCTTGGAGACCACAACACTCTGGCAGTGACTTTTAACTCATGATCTGTGCACCTTCAGCAAGGAGCAGTGGATGTTTCATCCACAGCTTCCCAGCAGTAATGCAGGTGGAGCCCATGGGCTAACAAACTTTCAGTAGGCTGTTCTCTTGCATCCTGCATCTTTTCACAGGCTGGGAAAGTCTCCTGGGGACATCTGAAGTTCACTAACCTATTCACGGGCTCTATTTTAAGACTTCATTCTCAATATGAGAGTAGGCACAGGACCCTACACAATGACCACTACATAGTCAGGAGTCTTTGTGGGACCATAGCTTACACTCACAGGCATGACAAACAGATGAGAGAGACTATCTGGAGGATCAGAGAGTAAACACCAGGCATTTAACCTAGATGATATTTATAAAGATCCCATAAAAATAATTATAATAGCTAATATTCATGGAGCATGAACTATGTGCCAGGTATCCTTTTAAATACTTCACACACTATTAACTCATAGTATTTTATTATCTCCTTACAAAAGAGAGAAGTACACACTAGAGACAGTGACTAGGATCCATGCTTGAGACTGGAGGACAAGTGTTGAGCACGTGAAGATGATGAGAAGCGTAGCTCCATTCCCTGGAGGCTATACTAAGCTCCAGAGGACACAGCTAACGTATCAAATATGGCTGTTACCCTTAACAGTGTGAACTGCTAAGCAAGTAGCTCTCACAGAACACCCTCCACCTCCTTCTGATGCCCTTACATCTCCAGCATCCCACTGCCCTAGGTCCCACCCATCCTCTGAGCAAAGGTTCAGATTAGTTAAGACCAATCCAAAGCTACATGATCTACCACGAAACCAAAAGAGATTCAGGGGGACACCCGATGTCTTACTCGTATGACAGAAAGAGTTTAAACATGGGGGTAATACATTCAAATCCTGATTCTACCTGATTAGCACGTGACCATGGAAAATCACCACCCCTCTGTGACAGGGGCTCCCTCAACTATATCTATTCTGGAAGCTCTCTGGGAATTAAGCACAGGCAAAGGGCTGGGATAGTGTGCTTTGGTCAGTGAACAAGAGAGTTTCCTTTTCTTAGGATATAGAGTTGAGAAATGCAGAAGGGGTGAAAAGGAAACGTAATATAAACAGGAAAGAGGAACCCTCCCTATGTCCACCCGTCCCGCACACACCACCACTAAATCTCTCCCTGGAGTCTTAGTCTTGTGTTTTCCCTCATTGTGTTTCCATGGGCTATGTCACACCAGGAGTGTCTGTTCAGGGGGATTTAAAGCCTTGAGTATCTCTGACTTAGGTCAACTCAATAGACCAATTTAGATGACATAATTCTGCACCCAGGACTCATTAGAGGCAGCCTTCGCTCACCTGCACTTGGCTGAGGAGACTGGTTTCCTGCAGGAAGTTGAGACTATTTACAGTAAAGTATTCCATTATAACCAGCAGCAAAGGGTATTTCTGCTTTTCTCTAATGGTACAATTTGGGAACCTCTCATAACACAGCTGGGATTGTTTAATCTGATGAGTTCAGTGCAACTGACCACATGGGAGAGACAGTAAATACTGTGGAAAACATTCAGTTCAGAAGCAGCGCCAGGAGGCTACTCGAGGGAGGAGGAGAGCAGGACCATTCAGATATGGCTCTGATCCCTCTTTCTCCAAGATTTTAGAATACACAGGCTGTAAGTGATGGGACCATCTTGTCAACCCAACCTTCTAACTTATTCCACCTTTGTAGCTAAAAAGTCCTTTAGAGAAGAACACTGTTTCATTCAGGAAGCAAATAGAAATTTTCTAGGGCCTCCATACCTGTTTCCCGCTTGCAGAATGGGATCCTTGTCGTATTGTAGGTGTAGCATGGATTCCTTTAGTCTTAATAATAAAACTCAGAATCTGCTATCAGGGGGTAAAAGCTGAAGGATCAGAGAAGCAAAACGGCCAGTCACTTGAAAGTTCTTACCTCTGCCAATGCTCAGACCAAAGGGGCGATCCTGTCCTCAGACTGCTGCCTCAGACTGCCATGAGCTCTTGTCTCCTCCCACCTTATATTCCTCTCTCCACCCAGCCATATCCCTTCCTGTCTCCACCTCCCTAGTACTAGGATTAAAGGCATGTGGCTCCAAGTGCTAGGATCACCTTTGTGTGAGCTCCGTTTTTCTTTTAGACTAGAACAATTTCATGTATCCCAGGGTGACCTTAAACTAACAAGATCCACTTGCCTCTGTCTTCCAAGTGCTGGGATTAAAGGTGCGTACCACCACTGCCTGGCCTCTGTGGTTAACTGCTGTGACTGCTGGGATTAAAGATGTGTGCTACCACTGCCTGGACTCTATGGCTAACTAGTGTGACTAGCTTTGCAATCTGATCTTCAGGCAAGCTGTATTCGTTAGATTATAAACAAAATATCTATCCCCATAGTAGGCATTAAGTTAACCTACGGACAAACATTCCTTTGGCCTCTAACATATGCCCCTACTTCCTACATTTGAGAAATACCGCTGTTATGAATTTTCATAATATATAAACAGGCAATTTATATGCAACCCTTTGCAGCAAAAGCAAATACCAACCAGTCACACAGAAAAGAGCCTGGATTTTGACCCTGGGTGGTACTTCCTCGAGCCTGTGGCTGCAGGAGGATCAAGTTTTCCTGTACCTGGTATGCAGGTAACACTTTGAACAATCTTTAATCCCAGTCAATATACATTTTTATTGTAATTTTCTTTCCTAAATCAGTGAATTTGGGCAGAATGCCTGGTAGAGTCTGGATGTCCAGTTTGCCAGTTACCCCAAACAGCTTCATTTCCCTCCTTCTGCATATTTTACCATCCCCTGTCATTTCTCACTTTGACCTATGAAAGAACTCCCTGGAGGTCACCACCTATCACTCACTGCTCTCAGACTCATTCAACTCAAACCTTTCTCGATACAACTTCCAGAATGATCCAAACACAAGCCAAATCATACCATCTCACTATTCACCCCTACCTCACCCCACCACCAGTTGCTTCCTACTGCCACACCAAGGCTAGCCCACCTAGCTCACTCACCTGTGGAGATCTGACCCCTGACTACCATTCTAACCTTTCTTCTGGCCCCTCTCTGCCATCCAGACACCCTGATTGCTATCCATCATCTCATCTTAGCACCCACATCTCCTCTTCCCAAGCACATTATCTTCCAGGATAGCCTTGCCTCCATCTTTCTCATCAAGATCCTAAGAACCATGAGCTCAGGAAGCAGGTGTTTCTGGAAGGTGGAACATTCCAGAATGTTGGCATGTGGCAGGTATATGGCAGACTTTAGAGGAAAATACCCCCAGTGGCATAAGAATGCAGGAAAGGGAATGACAATTTTTTTTTTGTTTTACAAGACAGGGTTTCTCTGTATTGTAGTAATTTTTTATCAGGGAGAGGCGGAGGTGACATCTATGGTAACCCTCAAAGGCAGGTTGGGATTTTGTCAATTAATAAAGGGACAGTGGCATTCAGGCCAGTGGGTCAGTCTGGGCTGTACCAGAAAATGTAGCAAGAATTTTGGGACCCAGATGTTCCTCATGAAGCTGGAGTGAGTGTGCCATCCTGTAATGGAAATAAACAATACAGATGCTTTTCGTCTCCAAGTCTATATCCTGTGGGTGGTAGGAGCCACTGGAGATGGTGGGGTAATGATATGAAATGAGAGAGTGTAGCATCAGAGCAGTGGGCAGACTCCAGCGAGGGAGATCAGCACCAGGGACTTCATTCAGAAGACAATGAAAACTTCCATGGAAAGTACTAGGGCCCTGAAAACACAAGAGAAAAAGAAAGAACAGAGAAAAGCTTTTGGGGTAACAACCAGTCCTCCTCAACATCTGAACTCAAGGCCTCAGATATGGGACAAGAATGGAGATGGTCATTGGAGCTATCCCTGAGTCACTAGCTGGGTGTCTGGCATCCTACAGCAATCAGATACTTCAAGGACTCTCATTCCCAGGGGAGTTGCAAGAAGCCAAGCAAGCTGCCACCTGGTCCTGCCTAACAGACTGAGCCTCATGAAATATGGAAAGCTCTGGCTCCCTGGAGAAAGCCCTGGAGGCCCCTCACAGATGTCAGGCCATGGAGGCCAAGAATCAGGCAGAACAGACCTCAGGACTCACAAACACATCTTACTTGCTCTAGGCCACACGGGCCTGTGTAACACAGAACAGCTTCAGCAAAGCCCAGAAAGGACCCCAAGCCTCTGCCTGGTGAACTGGATATATCTACATTCGAGATTTTACCTAAAAGGCCACAGAAATTTTATCTATGAACTTGTCAGAACTGGGTGTGTGATACCCAAGTCTCTGGCACCTGGTTGAGCTTGGTGTTTTTTCTGAAGGTTATAACTGAGAAACTGATGGCCAGAACTCTGCTACCTGAGCCTCCCCTACCAGAGTTCTGTGGACTAAGAATATATATTCAGGGGCTAGGCTCCCCAAATTCACTAGAGTGTGACCTTGGATATCAGGTTTCATTTTTCTATAAGATGGGATACATAATTAATATAAAATGAGAAATCTGTATATACCAGTGAGATCATATCTATATGACCAGTGAGTGTTTGGTGTAAAGGCTGTGCCATGTATCTTCTGGTGAAAGCACCTGAGTGCAGGAAGAAGCCAGAGGTCTTTCTGCCAACTCAACTCTAAGTATTCAAAGGCCTTTTCATCCTCAAACTTTAAATGATTACTTCTTACTTTCTAACTTTCCCTGATATAAATATTATCCAACTGTTCAAACATTGCTTACCTTTGATTTGCAGAAGACAGAGACCTTCCCCACTGGGCCCAGATCCCAGGGTGTTAAAATTAACCATCACCATGCAAATAAGCTAATGACTTACTGGTTGTAACTGCCATGAATAGACATAACTCTCAGATAAAGGCCATTAGAGAAAATTGAATAGTTCCAATGTGCCGAAAAATTGGATACATCCTATTTCATAAATCATATACAGAGGTCACACTGGGCAAGTTATTTCCCTTTCTGAGTCATGAAGAAGACCCAACTTGAAGGGATCTATATACTCTTGAGAAAGAGGACTCAGGAAGGAGCATTTACAACGTATTATGTCTTCATGAATGCAATCTTTGATTTTCTCTCCATCCATGGGAGGATGATAGCACAGAAGCAACAACCAGGACAAGCCAGGCCCCTCTCGTTCTCTTCCTTTCCCATCTACTGCCCTGGAGGTTGCTAAGTGGCCTCGGGAGGACAGAAAACCAGAACACAGAAGTCACAGAAATCCATGACAAATCCCACTTTACCTTCCCTGACCTTTGGTTTTTTAAACTGTAAAATCAGAATAGAACCCATTCTGTGTTGTTAGACTGTCCTAACAGCATAGGGCCTACATGACACTTCAGAAGCTAATAACAACCTAAGAGTCAATTCTGACCCCAAAATGTGATACTACATGAGAAGTATCATGGCATCCCTCCATGTGCTCCTATATGTCAACGATCTGCTCTCCCCCCAAAAGTCTAAAAGGCAGATTCTACAAAATGCATTGGAAAGAAGCAAAGGAAGATTGAATGTAAAGAAAAATCAGTACATAGAAACTGCTGTGGTTTGAAAATTCCAGTTCCCACCAGGATGCATAAAAATCTAATTCCCAATGTGAAAACCTAGGGAGATTAATTATGACAATGAATGCCTGCAAATGGATGAATGTTATTATATGAAAGCTCACAGAAGAGGACATGCTATCTTGATTTTTCCATCTTCTGCCACATAAGGACCAGTCCTTTCTGCCATCTGGAGGATGTGGCAGTCAGACATCATGTTGGAAGAAAAGCAGTGCCTCTCCAGACACAAATCCATAGGTTCTTGATATTGGACTTCCTAACGTCCTGTACTATGAGCCAATACATTTCTGCCCTTTATAATTACAGTCTTGGCATTTGGGGATAGTAGCATAGGACAGAAAGCATGTTTTGAATTGAGCACAGACAAACACTGCAACATTTCCATGATTAGACGCACTAGCCCTGAAGAAACAACTACCATCCCAGCTCACATACCAGGTGGCCAAAGGATTATGGGACATTCAATGGCCAAGTCAATGTGAGCCAGAACCTTGGTTCAGCCACAAGACTAAAGTATTCTCACCAGCTCATTAATGAAAAGAAACCATGGGAAAGATTTAACCCACTCCAAGGCTTGACTCGCCCTGTGTTTATAAACAGAATAAGCAAAAGTGTGAACAAGCACAATCATTCTCCACACACTGCTGACTTTTCTGTCATGTACATAGTTTTGGAAAAGGGATGTCAGATACACTGTGTACATCTGCCTACTCAAGTTAACTATGTAGATCTCAAGTATGAAGGCCAGAACCTGTAGAATGTTGTTTCAGGAAGACTCACCACTGTTTCTAGAACACCACATGTCACAGCAACACTTGAATGGTGTCTAAGGCAGAGTAGGAGATAGTCAAAATGAGGGTGGGTTTGAATAAAATCCTATCCATTGTGAGGCTTTAACTCTGTCTCCAAAACATGGCCATCTCTGCTTGAACACATTCATTCATAATAATAGCTAATATTGCTATAGCCATGCAATTCCACTGATAACATCTGGGAGATGTTGCATGCTCGAGCATTTGTTTCTTTTGTGCGTAGGGAAAGGGAGATAAAGGCTAAAGGCTAGGAATTTCCCAAGGTGAAGAATCAAATACAAGTCTGGAAGAGAAGAAATTCAATGCACACAAAAATGAGAAACCAACCTTCTCTGCAAAATGTCAGTCATAAAAGCTGAGAATTAATCACCATTGCATGACCCTCATAGAGGCTGAGGCTTGTATTTGCATCACCTGTTAGAGGATTGATGATGGAGTTCAATTAGAAAATTCCATTCCAAGAAACAAGAGAGAGTTCTTGGAAACAGATTCA